GAACTTGAAAGTCTGTTTTCACCGTTACTGTTTTACCTTACTCCCCAAACCACCAATGAAGGTAGCCTCTCCTAAAACGGAGGATGAGGGGGACTGCAAAGCTCCACCCGTGGCTTCTGGCCAGAAACCCTCTGAGAAGTTTATACTGATGCCTGGAGACCCGAGGGTGGCATCAATACCAAGTCCTCATTACTGCAAGAACTACTGGCCTTTAGGTGTCTACCTGACAAGGTCAGAACCAAGACTCCGTGGAAGCCCATATAACGTGTGACTGTGAACACTGGTGAGTGGAATTTGAGTAAACCTTTCCCACTCCAAACCTGCTGCCAGCAAAGCTTCTGCACTGCAGCCTCCAGCTTCACCAGCTGCCTGGGGAACTGGACCTTCCATACCGCCCTGGCAGGATGAGAGGTGAGAAGTCTAGATGGGCAGGCTGCTCATGACAGCTTCAAACTGCGATCCTGCAGGGTAGGCAAAGTCTGGCTAAGTTTGGTGTGAACAGACTGTCCCCCTGCCTCTTAGTCCCACCTTAGTTGAGAGAGCAGATGGGATTGGAGCACATGGTAGCTGGGAGTCTCAGAGAGGTCCCGTTGAGGACTGACTGCTATGGGGTAGTCAGCAGTGACCTTAAGAAGTAGGACTTTATCTGAATTGCCCAGCTCTCTGGGCACACACTCTTTATAGCAGCTCATACACAAAGGCTTGCACCAGCTCAGGGCAAGGCAGATGTCTTGGATGGTGGGGGGGGGGGAATTCTGTTCCTTGAGGATTCTGTCACTCCAGAGGATTCCTTTGCTTACAGTACCTGGCTGTCCACACGCCTGAGGAGTGAGCTGAGCAATACTGTCCCTTAGGAGGGATGCTCCCACTTTGGTCCATGTCTAGTCCCCTCCCTCCCACCTGCTCTCTCCTTCAGGGGTTTTAGCTGTCAAGGCTCCATATGCACAATGTAAACTGCTCACAGCTCCTCTCACCTTCCAATTGTCTCTGCCCTTCCTATTTCCAAAAGCACCATGAACCATCATGGAACATCATCAAAGATCCCGTCCTCGGCTAAGCCCACGTGAACAGCACCATACAGGCTGAGCCAGCAGTGAAGACTTTCAGCTATTTCTGTTTTATTGAGTGCTGAGATGTGAGGGAGTCAGTACGAACCAGCCTTGCAAGTCACTCACTTAGACCCCTCTGGCCACTGAATATTAAATCACGTTCCTCTCTCTGGCTCTCCTCTTTCATACAATTGTTCAAATACCTCCCTCTCTTCATTTCCCACCCCCAAAGGTCTCACATAGCCCAGGCTGGCCTCAAACTCACTATGAAGTAGAGGATGACTTCGAACTGATCCTCCTGCCTCCACCTTTCAAGTGCTGGGATTACAGGTGCATGCCACCACTCCCGGTTTATAAGGAGTTCTGATGAAATGCAGGGCCTTGGCCGTGTCGGACAAGCACTCTGAACTGAGCGATGTCCCCAGCCCTGCTTCTTTTTTTCTCCTCTGGCCTGGCAGGCAATCGGAGATAAGTCGGAGAGAAAGACGGGAGACAGTTAAGCAGATATGGGGAAGGAAGAGCCATCCCCTCTCCACCTCCATCTGGCTGAGTCAAGAGTTTTGGCACAGCTCGCTGGAGACTCCTAAAGAAACTACACACAAAAAGAACACGCCCTGAAAATACCAGGGTCACTAAGCCATCCAGAGAACCATGCTCAAAATCAAAACATGGCTGACTCTCTTTCTGGAACCTTGAATAACAAAATTACTTTGATGTTTAAAAGTTGTTTTTGACTCAAGGTTTATATTAACCATGTTTCCCTCTCAGATTCCAGCCTGTCTGTGAATTACCTTATAATTTCATTTCAGCGATAGAAAAAAAAATGTATGGGCTTGGAGAGATGGCTCAGCCAGTAAGAGGGCTCCCTGCTCTTGCAGTGGACCAAGTTATTCCAAGAAACCACGTCACGTGGCTCACAACTGCCTGAAAAACTCCAGCTCCAGGACACCGGATGCTCTCTTTTGACTTCTCAAGGCACCTGTACAACAGAGAGACACATGAATAAGACAGGAATAAACCTAAAACAATAACAAAACATCATCTTCAATAAGGAAATAAGACCAACACTGTCACTGTGTTAGGTGGTTCAAACTGACCCAGGACATAGAGGAAACTTTTAAATATGCTTGGGTCTAATGATGGGAGAACCATAAACCAATTGTAGCTTCAGCTTTCAAATAAAATAGATTTGCTTTAAAACAATTTTAATGTTATATGCACAAAAAAGACATCCAGACTCCTGCTAACCTGAATTCATTGAGATAAATTCTGAGCCCCAAACCTAAATGCAGTCATGTGATCACTGGCAGCTAGTACACAGAAACAGCAAAATATTGTCTCAGCTCCGTGCTTGCAACAAAACTTATGAACACATCAGAAAACACAGACAAAACTTCCCAACAAAACAGGGAGACCCAAGTTTAGAGAGAAACAGACAAAACTCCAAAAAGACAAACAATGCAACAAAACTTACCAACACAACAAACAGATACAACTTTCTCTAGAAACAGACAAAACTTTCCAACTAGAACCAGAATGGCCGGTGATGTCTAGCTATATGCCCTAGACCAGGCATTATTGAGGTTCTATTGAACCCTTTCCATGTCCCCAGGTAGGGACCCTACAAAACAGAACTAGACTATGACTTACCAGGAGGCATCTGTATGTTTGGTGCATTCCTTGGCATGGAAGTTCACTCCTATAGTCTGTGAGCTGAAGGCAGCCAGGGAGCTTGGAACATCTCAAGGCATGTACCTCCTGAAGCATCCCACAGTCTCATTGTTCTGGGGTGAAGTTCCACCTTTAGAACTGGAGTGAGTGGTCTGAAACTTGCCAGAAATCATTAGTCCCACTGATCAAGAAAACACAGTTTAAAACCAACTATGAAGCAAACTTTGCAAATGTTGCAGCTCTGAAGGCAAAGGTATCCTGACCGTTGGGAACCAGGCTATACCTGTAGCTGTGAAGGGAAGGTATCCTGACTGTCAGGAAGTCATAGCTGTGTTCCAGTGAGGGATGGTTTTCCCACAGGAATGTAGCAATTCTGCTCCTCTCTGAGAGAGCCATTAAAGCTCAGCTCTACTCCACTCTGCTCAGAGTTTCCTAGCAGAGATGTCCTTAGCGATCTGCCTACTGCTTTGGTGAAAGTTGTTACTTCTCTGCTTCATTCTGCCAAAGTGGAAACACTGTCAGAGATGTAGCAGTTCGCTCCAGTTCCATTCCAGATGTCTGTGCTTCTCTACTCCACTTAGGCAAAAGGTCTTCACTCAAAATTCATTCAAGAGATTTATTGGGAGAGAGGAACCCAGGAGAGTGGCTGCCTCTGCCAGGGTGGAAAAGGCAGTTTCCAACTGACCCAGCACAGGACTTACATAGGGCTTCTTAGCGGTGGAGTTTTTCCAGGGTGAAGATTTTTCAGAATGGGTTTTAATACCTGAGCTTGGACAAGCTCAGAGATTGGCTGGATTTTGTGCTCAGGGATTGGTTGGTTTCCTGCTCAAGGATTGGTTGCTTTTTGTGCTGAGTTGGTTAGGGACAGTGTGTTTCTTTCATTGGCCCTTTGTAACCTTTTGGGTCTGGTTTCAGGGTCAAAGTGTGTTTCTTTGGCTCTGGTTTCAGGGTTAGGGTGTGTTTCTTTGACTCTGGTTTCAGGGCCAAAGTTTTTTTTTTTTTTCCACTGGCTCTGGTTTCAGGGTCAGGGAGTGTTTCTTTGACTGGCCCTTTTACCCTACAAGCTTTAATTAAATACTGGACAGGTGAATGTGCTCTGGCCAGGTCCACACCCAGGTTCCTAGGAAATGGCCCAGAATCAAGTATGGCGAGGGTTTAAGAAAGAAAACCCATAATTCATTGCATTTCCCATTAGGTCCAATCAGGGGCAAGCATACATCCTAACATATTCCCTGCCTGCTTACCTCCTATGGTCCAGCACATCAGGTGCAGATGGGTCAAACAAACTTGTTTAGGGGAGTGAAAATATGCGACTTTTTTTTTTTTTATCTCCTATAAACAACAGCTTTAGGCACTTCAGCAACTATCTGTCCTTGGGCAAGGGCCTTGCAGATCGGAGGCATTTTTGTTTCATGGATCTCTAAGGCATAGTAATTACAACTTAAAATGTAATGTTGGCTTTCACAACTGCCTCTAATTTTTAATACTTTTCTGCAACTTCTTTGCATTACTTTTATTTTTATTTTATGTGTATGAGTGCTTTGCCTGGTGCCTGTGGAAGCCAAAAGATTCTGATCTCTTAGACTGACCTTCCAGAGGTTTGTGAGCCTTGCTGTGGGTGCTGGAAAGAGAATCCAGGTCCTAGACAAGCACAGCCAGCCAGTACTCTTAACGACGCCGAGCCGTCTTTCCAGCTCCCACTTTTTAACTTTTAAAGCACCGTGCTTGGGAGTTCTTTATCTCGATTCCTGAGGTTTTGGGTGTGCGCGGACATGCTGACCCACAAGAGTGCCTCCTCAAGCTTGGCAGGGAAATACGCATCTTTAACACTCCGGCTCTCCTCGTGCAACACTGAGACCTGCCCTCAGTTTTCTTCTAGAGCTCCAGGATGTGGGCGGTGGAGGTACACACCCAGAGCTCCCCACAGTCAACCTATTCCGACTAGGGGCAGAACAGCCCTTCACCTAAGTCACCCCTCTTCAAAGGCGCCAGGTGGGTGCAGCAGCTTCTGGGCTGGACTGGAGCATACATAGGCAATGAGGGCGTGTTGTCCGGTTTGGGAGAGCGGGTCGGGGACAGCCATCTGTGGCCTGGAAAGTTCTAAGGCTTTTTTTTTTTTTCTGGACAGGAAAATTTTCCCAGGGAGCATATGGGAGGGGGCGTGGCTGGAGGGGGGTGGAGAAGTGGGCGGGACAGAATCCTAGTGGGCGGTGCAGGAGGGTGTAGGAAGTAGTTGTAGGTGGGTCCAGCTCCTGTGGGCAAAGTGGGGCGGGGCTGATGGGCGGAGCAGAATTCGGGTCCACAGAAACAGGACCGGGTGGACTCGGTGGGGTGGAGTGGAGCGCTCCGGTGGGTGGGATATGGCGGAGATGGTTGGTTTTGGGTGTCCAGATAGGTCTGGCGTGAGCGAGACAGGACGCAGGTGGGCAAAGTGTGGCGGGGGAGGGCTCAGGTGGATGATGTGGGGCGAGGGTGAGTAGAGGCGGTCGCGGGTAGGTGAGGCAGGATCGGGTAAGTAGAAGGTAGGCGGGATTGGTGGCGTGGCTCTGCTTCTGGAGCGGGGCACCTAGCTGTCACCGCTATGGCCGCAGCTTCTAGAGTAGCCAGTGTCTGCTAGCTCCTCCCGTGGGCTCAAGGTGCTCTGCTCCGCGGGAGGCGGGGCTGCGAGGCTCCCGGTGCTGCTCGAGGCTCTGCGTGCCCTGCCCGTAGACGGGTGGCAGCGCAGCCCAGGGGATCGTCTCGTTGTGGTGTCCTCCACAAGCCGGGACGATGGTAGACGTGCTGAGCGGGCGGCGCCTGGTGACCCGCGAGGGCGAGGTGGTGGAGGCGGAGGCGGCGCTGCAGAACAAGGTGGTAGCTCTGTACTTCGCTGCGGGTCGATGCGCGCCCAGCCGCGACTTCACGCCGCTGCTCTGCGACTTCTACACGGAGCTGGTGAGCGAGGCGCGGCGGCCCGCGCCCTTCGAGGTGGTGTTCGTGTCGGCGGACCGCAGCGCGGAGGAGATGCTGGACTTCATGCGCGAGCTGCACGGCGCCTGGCTGGCACTGCCCTTCCACGACCCCTACAGGCAGTGAGTGGGACCCCGGGGAACGCGTGCACTCCGACTCCTCTACTGCACAGTGCTTCTCTTTCAGACGAGGGTCCTTAACTTCTTACCCCGCCTTTCTTTCTTTCTTTCTTTCTTTCTTTCTTTCTTTCTTTCTTTCTTTCTTTCTTTCTTTCTTCCTTCCTTCCTTCCTTCCTTCCTTCCTTCCTTCCTTCCTTCCTTCCTTCCTTCCTTCCTTCTTTCTTTCTTTCTTTCTTTCTTTCTTTCTTTCTTTCTTTCTTTCTTTCTTTTTTTCCTGTTCAGAGAAAACTGACCCCAACGCGGGAGTAGTGCTTGGGGTTTCAGAGATCCGCATGTTTCAGGAGCTCGTGGGCTGGCATCTCTTAGCTAGTCGTTTTAAATGTGCAGGAGGAAGGGCCGGAAGCTGATCCCACCGACCTGAGTGGGAGCTGCTGATCGCGACCTGTATCCACAGAGCTGCATTGGCTGGGGTGGGAAGGGAGAAGGCCTCAGAACGGGAGGAACCAGTTGCTGGTCAAATTTGTAATTCCATTTTTACCTGCAGTGATGAAGTTCCCTAACTATAATGTGTTAAGTTTCAGTAACATGAATGCTATCGCAATACATGTAAGAGGAACGAGGAATGGGCAGATGTTAGAGCAGGCAGGACTTGAGAGTTCCAGGAAAGAGCCCCGGGAAAGAGCAAGGCATGGCCAGATACTGGGCTCACCAGGTTGATGGTAGTGTCTCCTGTGATGGAAGAGTCCAGATGGAGATCTCATAGCACGAGCCCCAGCCCTGTCCCCTTCTAGAGTCTTGAGCTTATTATCCAGCTGTGGGGTTACCCATGAATCCTTTCTGAAAAAACGAAGCATAGCCAACTTGGCGATATTCCATAGATTCCAATAACTAGAAGCCCCCTTATTCTGTGTGTGTTTGGGGGTGCACTTGTGGGTGCTTGCCAGTAGAGATCAGAGGACAACCTCTGCTGTTATTTCTCGAATGTCATCAATCTTGGTTTTCTGAGAGAGGGTCTCTCACTGCCCTGAAAATCACTAAATTGGCGAGGCTGGTGGGCCAGTGAGCCCTAGGGATCCACCCGTCTCTGCAGCACCCCTCCCCAGCTCTGGGATTGCAAGCGCACCAACTTTTTATGTGGATTTGAGGTCTGAATCTGTGTCTGCATCCTTGCAAAGCACTTTACTGCTGGCTGAGCCATCTCCCCTGATTTTCCTAAGCTCATTCTCTTTGGTGGTTCCCAGGGAGGTGAAGAACCCAAGGGAAGCTGCTTAGCCTCACTCATGCCGGTACCCTGAAAATCCCATTGATACTAAGTCCAAGTGACAGCTGATTATCTTTGCAGGAGGGCTCACTTGACAAGGCTTCAAGTGCTGTGCTTTGAAATGTGATTTGACTCGATGGCAGGCACTCAACTATACATAGCTTTTGAAAGGGACACGCTTGTTTTGCAGTTGAGATGGTGATGGTTGGTAATTAGGCAGAGAGCCCAGCCCCCCCCCCCAGAGAATAGAGCTCTGGGTTACCCATGAGGATAGTGGGGAAGTAGTTTTCTGGTTGAGTAAAGAGATGAAGAATGAGGTTGACCTAGTCTGTGAAAGAGCTTATGTATTTATTATTTTTCTAATACTGTGACAAAACATTTGACAAAGTAACTTAAGAGAAGCTGGTGGGAGCGGTGGCTCAGTGAGTAAAAGTGCGAGTATGAAGACCTTAGTTCAAATCTCCATCGCTTAAATTAAAGCAAAAGCCAGACATGGCTGTGTGTGCCTGGAACCCCAGCAATGGACAGGTAAAGTCAGCCAGATCCTGGGAGCTCCCTGGCCAGCCAGTCTAGCTGAAACAGCCAGCTTTCGTTTCGGCGAGAGAACCTATCAAAAGAGAATGATGCGGAGAGTAATTAAGACATTTGTCGCATCCCTCTGGCCTCCGCATGCACTGGCACCCCCCCCCACACACACACACAGAATAAAAGAAACTTAAGGCAGGACGGCTTTACTTGGGTTCACACTTTGAAAGTAGGCTGTTACTGTGGCAGAAGCATGGGAGGTGGATCACTGTGTCTGCCGTCTGGAGCCACAGAGAAAGGAATGCTGGTGCCACACTTATTTTGTTCTTTTCATCCAGTCCAGGACCCCAGCCCATGGAATGGTGCCTCCCACAGTTAACCCAATCTAGAAATCACCCCACAGACATGTCCAGAGGTTTGTCTTGTAGACGATTGTAGATTCTGCCAAATTAGCAATCGATATTAGCCATCCCAGGTTCCTCACAGTGTCAGCTGGTGACAGATCAGCATATACTGGTCTATTGCCCTAATTTCCACGTGTGCCACTGAGGCAGAGTCCAGTTCTCCTGGGGTCTGCCTTTGGACCCTGGCTGATGTCCTGGCCCAGGGTAATTAGCCGCCCTATTTGTGCACCAACTCCCTTGAGAAGGGTGTTACATTGGGGACCATGTAGCTTTCCTTCTTCCTCACTCATCTGCCCACAAGCCTTTGTGCCCCAGGTGAAGACAAATGAGCCTCTGTGAGCACAGGTTGGCCTGGCTTGCCTGGTCTTCATTTCCAGAAGGATTTTCCAATTGCAGACTTAGTTATCGGTCCTTCTCTTTCTTTAACCTTGATGTTGCTTTGTGCAAACCAGGAAGTAGAGTGTTCTGAGGGGTTGCTAAGTCAACTTGGATATGTGGAATCAGGTCATGGGCCAAAGGGAGGGGGCACCATTAGGGAGGAGTGGAGGCTGCATGGAGCATCCAGGAGGCGTTTGGGGAAGTTGCTCTCTGCTGTGGGGAGCAAGACAGGACAGGGAAGTGAACTGGGAAAAGATCCTGTGTAGCTTTCCCTCAGAGGCCTTTACTGCCTACTACTGTCCCTCAGTTCCTGAAGAGCCACCTGAAGGAGGAGGGGGACATTTTCTACTGTCAAGAAAGTCACTTGTGGCTCCCTGAGATTACCCTGGCATGGCTGGAGGCTGGTGCACCTGCAGGAAGGAGACACCCCAAGCCCTTACCTTGCCCTCAGAATTATGTGGGTGCATTCCCGTGTGGCCTTGTCCCCTGACACAGCAACAGTTACTGTGTTCAGCCCAGAGAGGTCACTGTTTTTATCACCAGTATGTCTCTGAAATGAGATCTGGGTGCTTGTCTGGAGCTGGCTCCTCTGCCCAGATGTCCCAGTGCTGGTGACTAAGAAGAGGGTCCATCTTAGCATGGGAGTGACTGCAGGGGCGTGTGCCAATGCTCCCCGCAGGCATTTTCTCAGACTGAGGGTTCCATCTTATCCCATCCTCTGTGACTGAGCTCATCTGTCTAAGAAGAGATCCTCCTGCCTCAGCCTTCTGAGCATGGACATTACAGGCATGTATTACCATATGTGGTAGAACCAGGTCTCAAAGCAATTGCAGGCATTCATGCGATAGGTTGCTACTCCTAAGAGACTCCTTAAAGAGCTTACAGTGACACCCTTGCAATGCTGGTCCTCATAGGCTGGGCAGATTCCAAGGTGCCTGGCAGACATCTTCCCCTCGTGCCAGCCCAGCTTCTTACCTGCTTTCTTAGGATGTGACTGGGTGCTGGGGAATCTCTTCTGCAAGCTGACATGCTTGGAGTTGTAGAAAAGTAGACCAGCGTGGACTTCATTTCTTGGGTAGACAGAGCTTGGGGCTCTCTGATTCTGATCTCTAGTCTTCCAGGTCTCTACTGTCTCCTGGATTCAAGGCAGCTCTTGTCTGGCCCTGCCTTGTTCCAAGTCCTTCTTAGATGAGGTCTTGAAGCTTCCCTATGCTGCCCAAGCTGATCTCAACTGCATGGGCTAAAGTAATCCCCTCGGCCTCATCCTCTTGAGTAGCATGAACTACAGGCTACTTGAGTTCTGGATAATTGTATTTGTAGTCCTGCAAGAGTTTGATGGTATCTTCAACCTGAGATTTATATAGTATGGCTGCCCCTTGGTATCTGAAGGGAATTGGTTCTTGGATGCCCCGTGGATGCTCAAACTGAAGGGCATTCAGGTCCCTATATAAAATAGAAGAACTTGTATAGAGCTTGTACACAGTCCCTTCCTTTCAGACCTGCAACAATGTTAACCCTTTGCTCTTCTGTCTTCAGTGAACTGAAGAAGAGGTACGACATCACAGTCATCCCCAAGCTCGTGGTTATCAAGCAGAATGGAGCTGTCATCACCAACAAGGGGCGGAAGCAGATCCGGGAGCGCGGGCTGGCTTGCTTTCAGAACTGGGTGGAGGCAGCCGATGTTTTCCAGAACTTCTTGGGGTGAATCTGGAGGGCCCAGGGCAGGTGGTTGCTGCAAGTGCAGGGCAGACACCTTCAAAAAGGGGCTACTGATTTTCTTCTCCGTTGGGGGATTTCACAGTAGAGGCACGGCAGTAGGGCAGAGGGCAGAAACTTCGCAGGAAAGAACCACACCACCGTCCTGCTGTGGGTCCCAGGGTTCCTTCTGAACCAACTTACATTTTCTTCTATCTTTGCCCACCTGTGCTGAGGCTCCAGGCCACACCAACAGTGTGCTATCAGAGATCTATGCAAGATGCCCATTCCTGCAGGTTGTTTTGGTAAATTGATCTATGAGGTGATGTGCTTCCTGATGATCTATCACATTTTAGTGATGCTTTGGTAGGCATATTAATCAAGTCTGCAGAATGTGTAGTTTAATAAACCAACATTCATGCCTTGAGCTGCTCGGTGTTCTTCTGTTTCCTTTCAAACCAAACACCAACAGAGGGACAAGTCAGTCACCGTCATGCTAAAGCTGTCATTCGTCTGAGGGGATGTCGCTAACTGCACCTTGTCTTGGAAGATTCCTCAAACATTTGTCTTTCTTTTCTTTCTTCTTTCCTCCTTTCTTCCTCTCTCTCTTTCTTTCTTTCTTCTTTTTTCTGTCTGTCTCTCCTTTTTTCCTTCTCTTCCTTCTGTTCTTCTTGTTTTTCCTCTTTTTGGAATGCTGTCTTTTTTTTTTCTTTTCCTCCTACTATCTCCTTCCCTCTTTTTGTGTGGAATTGGGGATTGAGTTCAAAGCCTTGCCCCCACTAGCCAAGTGCTCCATCTTCCTCTCTGTGCATGTGTGTGTTTTATATATGTACATAATTGAGTGTGGGGGTAAGCATGTACATGTGTGGGTACATCAGAGGCTGATACCCAGTGCTTTCCTCCATGATTCTTCACCTTTTTGCATTTTTATGATTCTTTTTAATTATGTGTCTGTGTGTGTGCATGAGGCTGTGGAGGCCAAAAGAAGGCATAAGATCCCCTGGGGTTGGAGTTAGAGGCGATTGTGAGTGACACACGTATTTTAGGAGCTGAACTCCTGTCTTCTAGAAGAGCAGCAAGTACTCTTAACCACTGAGCCATTTCTTCAGCCTCCTCAGCCTTTTCTTTTTATATAATGATGAGGAATCCAGGGCCTTGTGCATGTCAGGCAAGTGCATTGTTACTGAGTTATACACCAAATCTTCTCTCTCTCTCTCTCTCTCTCTCTCTCTCTCTCTCTCTCTCTCTCTCTCTCTCTCTCTCTCTCTCTCTCTCTCTCTCTCCTTTTGAGAGGCCCCTCATCTGGAGCTCGCTGATTCAGCTAGGCTAGCCAGCTGATAAGCTCCAGCTATTCACCTGTTTTTGCTCCCCAGTGCTGGAGTTGCAGATGACACCAAGGGCTGGAGTTGCAGACGACAGCGTCACATCTGGCTTTCCATGGTCCTGGAGAGCCACTCAAGTCCTCATACTTGTGCAGGAGGCATGTTACTGACTGAACCATCACCCCAGCCCTTTACCAACTAACCCCTTTCATTTTTAATAGAATTGTAATGACATAGAAAGAAATTAATTCACATTTCCAAGCTATAAGGTCATGATTTGAGTCTATATTTGTAATGATGGCCCAATAAGATTTTAATGGATAATATAATTTCATTGTATTATGGGATTTCTATTGTCTGGTTAAATCTGTGGTATTTGTATTGTTCTAAAATTACATAATACTTTCCGAAGTATGTCTGTGGTGGTTAATACTGGCTGCTGGACAGGATCTAGAATCACTCAAAAGACAAACCTCTAGACATGTCTGTGAGGGAGTTTCTTGGTTGGGTTAATTGAGGTGTGAAAACTCACCCTGAATTTGGGTGTCACTCCTCCATGGGTCAGGGTCTGTCTTAATCACTGTTTTATTCTTGTGAAGAGACCCCATGACCAAGGCAACTATTATGAAAGAAACCATTTAGTTGGGGGATTGCTTACAGGTTCAGAGGTTTAGTCCATTGTCACTGTGGTTGGAAGCATGGCAGCATATGGGCAGGTGGGTGCTGGAGCAGTAGCTGAGAGTTACATCCTGATCCATAGGTGGAGAGAGACTCTGGGTTAGGCATAGTTCAGAGCCCACCCCCAGTGACACATTCTTAATCCTTTTAATCCTTTCAAATAGCACCATTCCCTGGTGACTATGCATTCAAATATGTGAGCCTATGTGGGATGTGTTTGACAGTTTTATGTCAGTTTGACATGAGCTAAAGTCATTTGAGAGGAGGGAACCTCAATTAAGAAAATGCCTCCATAAGATCAGGCTGTAGGCCAGGCTGTAGGATATTTTCTTAATCAGTGATTGGTGGTGGGGGGGGAGTCCAGCCTATTGTGGGTAGTGCTAAGCTTTGGGCTGGTGGTTCTGCATTCTATAAGAAAGCAGGCTGAGGAAGCCATGAGGAGTAAGTCAGTAAGCTGTTACAGTAAAGAGCCAGGGGAACCTTGGTGGGTTCCATGGCAGGTGAGAGTGACTGAGGAGGGGGACAAACACGCCAGGCAGACAGAGCTTAAGTGAGAAGTTTTATTAGAAATGGGAGGGGGAAGGAAAGAGAAAAGAGATAAAGAAACAGAGAGAGGACAAAAGAGAAGAGGGAGATCAGAAAAATCCTGTCTACCCCAGGGGGACAGCGGGAAAGAGAGTGTAAGTGGGCAGGAGTCTTTCTTTTAAAGGGGTCCTTTCATGGAACCCTGGGCTGATCAGGGTACTGCCTGAGTGCATTCTGCAAGGTGACGGGCAGGCCAGCATAATGCCCGAATCCTTCAGTATGCCACCATGGCCTCTGCATCAGCTCCTGCCCCCAGGCTTCTGCCCTGTTGAGTTCCTGTTCCAGCTTCCTTCAATGATGGACTACAGTGTGAGAATATAAGCCAAATACACCCTTTCCTCCCCAACTCGCCTTTTTGTCCTAGTGTTTCATCACAGCGGTACTAACCCAAACACAAGAGGGGGCATTCTTATCCAAAGCCATAGGATCGATCTCAGACTGAATAAAAAGGAGAAGATGAGGACTGGGGAGTCAGTTCAGTGGGTAAAGAGTTCTCTGTGCAAATTCACATCCCTAGGACTCACATGAAACCAGGTGTGGTAATGAGCATTTTAATCCCTGTGATCCTGTAGTGAGATGGATGGTAGAGACAGGGGAATCTCCAGAAGCTTTTAGATCAGTTAACCTTGGGTATGCAGCAGCCAAGCAAGTCCTTTGTCCAGGTGGAAAGTGACTGTAGATGCCCTGTGGTCAACTGCCTCAAACTCCCACCCATGAAAATGTCCCCCAAGACTGTATAAATAAATGTGTTCTTTTTTTGTCTCCCTCCCCACTCCTCTTGTTGTTAACATGGGTTCATTGGAAACCACAGAGCTTTACTGGAATCCTGTGGATCAACCAAAGACTGTTGTTAGGTGGAGCCAACCTGACCACTGTATTTGCCTCAAAATAGGTCTCACTGGTCAATAATTTTCTTCTTAAGTCAAGAAACAGTGTAGATGCCGGGCGTTGGTGGCACACGCCTTTAATCCCAGCACTTGGGAGGCAGAGGCAGGCGGATCTCTGTGAGTTCGAGGCCAGCCTGGTCTACAAGAGCTAGTTTCAGGACAGCCTCCAAAGCCACAGAGAAACCCTGTCTTGAAAAACCAAAAAAAAAAAAAAAAAAAAAAAGAAAGAAAGAAACAGTGTAGATTAACTCTAGGATTTTGTGTGTGTGTGTGTGTGTGTGTGTGTGTGTGTGTGTGTGTGTGTGTGTTTATGGGGAACCTTGCAGGTGGTCACAGGCAGAAAGGTGTATCATGAAAAGGTGAGAATGAAAACTCAGTTCAGATTGACTTTGTCAACCTGGATCACACTTTGAGGAGTCTGATGCCAGTTGGCTTATTCCCAACAAATTTAAACACAGTATAATTTGAAAGAAGTTTCCTGGTGCAATACAATCCTGTGTACAATAAAGTGTAATTATATTGAAACTCAACTCAGGGCACATGTCATTTCTTCCAAGAAGATGGGTTCTGGAGATAGGCCACCTGTGTTAGCATAAGGACTTAAGGAAGGATCTGGCCTGCTCTAGGTCATTTGGATAGTGTGGAGATGATTTTATCCACCTCTGGTCCTGGTTGTGGGAGCTTGATATGACCTGATCTAACGGGTAACACAGATCACCAGGCTCTTAGTCACCTCCAATTCCCAGCTTTCTGAATGGAAAACAGGTTTTATGTCCATTCCTTTTCTGTTTTTTCTGGAGGTCTGGGAGTGCAAGGACCTTTGTCCTGTGCTCACAACATTTTGGACACATATTCTTGGAAGGTATGCATCCCCTGCATGTGAACTTTCAAGATGTTCATTTATGTATGAACTATAGATTTCTCCTAAAAGGTAAAGAGGGCTCAGTCAATAAAGTACTTTCCATGCCAGCATGAGGACCTAAGTTCATTTCCCAGCACCCATGTAAAAAGCTGAGTACGGTGATACAAGTTTGTAATCCCAGCACTGAGGAAACAGAGACAGATAGATTTCCGGAGCTCACTGGTTTCTGTGGTAGCTTTGTAAGCTCCAGGCCAATGAGACACTCTTAAAAGTGTTAAACTAGCTTTAGCTCAGTGGTTCATTCAGCAGTACATGATTTTTTTTTAAATAATGTGAGCAGCTCCTGAGGCACATATGAGGTTAGCCTCCGGCCTTCACACACACACACACACACACACACACACACACACACACACACACGAATGTTCACACAAAGAATGTTCCAGGGCAGAGCAGGTGAGCTAACCTCCTCCTGCAGGGATGGCTTGGGCTGGGAGAGAGATGGAGCATTTGCAATAATGCTAGGCTGTGGGTAGATTTTAGTGTTGAGCTCTAGCCTAGCATGTTCTGGGTTCTATTTCCAGCACTGACAAGAAGCAAACTACTGGTACCCTGAGACACATTCTTTAATATATAATGTCTCTAATAACTATTCCCCTGAATGCCAGCCTCCTTGCAGAGAACTATCCCACCTGCACCACAACTTCTATTACAAAAGCAATAGGCACTCCCTGTGAAAACAGGAGGATGTTCTAGAACAATTCTGTCTCCTGACATCCATATACCTCTTTTCTCTGAGCATCAATTTCCCCTCTTCCCCCCTGAGTCCCCTCAGCGTGCCCCAGACCAGCAACATCATGTGGGCATGTGCAGCAGCGGACGGAGAGAAACGCAGATCCTCATCTAGGAGAGTCTGACATCCTCACATCTGAGTATTATGGGTCACATTTAATCACAAGCCAGCCTGCTCTACTCACTGCAGTCCTGGGAGAGGACTCCCTCCATTTCACCAGGGATTTCTTCCTGAAGATCACTGCAATTCATATAACCAAGACCTGTGCCAACAGGTCTCATGCCTGCCTTTATGGGTACA